TGGCTCAGCTTTATCCTTTTTGCTTCAGCCACTTTACTTTTACTTGTGTTGTTGTGCTATGCATTTACGAGCGATGCTTTAGGTAGTGACACAAGCTAGGCTACCGATTTCCGTTTGGGCGTTGCCTTTAAGTTTGGGTCGATGGGTTGTGGCGGTTTTCAGCGGTGCGAGCGAATCCCCTTTGCTTCGGGAAGTGAATGAGGTTCGTTCAAAAGAATTCGATTAAAGGCTTGGAGCTACCTGGTACTTGATTTTTCACTGCATCACCGAGTAGTCCAAGTCGTCCCACCTGGTCGTAGACAATTAGCTCACAGAAGATGGTTAGTAATTGACCATGTCGGGGTCATGTTTTTGCTGCAAGTAACAGCTGATAATGAGACAACAGTGCCTCCCGCCTTAGCTCGAGCATGGCAGTATCGCTCATAATTGTATGCCACATCGTTTTAATGTGGCGCAATATTAACCTTAAATTTGACGAATAAATATATCTCCGATCCAACATCGTCCACCCTACAGCTTTGCACGTTCTGGAACACAGTATCTCCATCTAAAATCTAATTTTTTGTTCTTTGCGATAGTTTAGTGGGCTTTCGGCCCAGACGAATAAGTTAGAGCCTTGTTGGAAAAGGTTTGCTCCCCACCCAGCCTTGCCTGTCGTTGGTCTCCGCTCAACATGTCTCGATAAACAGGCACACGCACACACGACACCACGTCATCCCTGTTGTTAGGAATAAATGGTCATGTCCACGTTGTCTGCCCACCTTACCACCTTCTCTGTCCTCAGTTTTTTGGGTGCCAAAGCACAGTGGGTTTGTAATGTACCTTATCACTACTATAGTTGTATGTAGTGTTTTCCTACATAATGTCTATTCATATTGAAAAAGGATAGAAATCGATTCACTTTAATGATGCGTGAGCCCTCAGTTACAGTAGTTCCTGCTACATTCACGTTATCGGTTTTTGATTGTACATGTTGTAAAGAAGTGGTCCACGGATTTCCAACTAACAAGCCCTTTTTCGCCTTCGTATCCTTCACCTAACGGACATCTTTGGTGGTGGCTCGGCTTTTGTTTGAACACGCACTTTAATTGGGAGTACTGGTTCTGACTCCAAGGTAGCTACAAATATTCGCCTCCTCGGTGACGTAACGGTTTATTGCACATTAGTTTTCATAGCTGCATACGATACTCCAGGACTTGGTAGAAGTCGGAGCTGCAAGCACCGCGGGTTAAGATTACAGATGAAACCCAGAGAATCACGCGAAGGTGATGGGATCGGCTGACATGGCTGCACCTTACCCAATGTATAACGATTTGTGTGTATGTCTGCAAATAGTTGTTTTCGTCGTAATTTCAAGGTGTGATTACACAGTTATTTATCAAAGCATTCTTCTCGAGGTCATTTGACAAGGCCTCATAGGAGGGTCTTTTCTTACTATTATTTGACAATGTTGAGAGACTTGCAATTAAAAACTAGTTTACGACGAAAATGGATTGTTATTTTAATTTTATCCGACTATTCATTAAGTAATTTGTGCCGAATTTTGCCTTATTTTAGAAGCTTCAGTGAAACTGGATTCCTACATACTTGCACCCATCCTTGCTAACATCCATTCCATGATGAAGTCCTTGGAAGTTGGTATCTCTCGCAGAAATGCTGTGTAACATTGTCATTCCAATTATGTTTTTACTTTTCTCACTGTCGTATTCAGACTGGTAGTCATTTATTTAACTACAGACCACCTCGTATCGCATTGTATTCATTATGCTCTGTGTTGCTAGCGTCAAAATTCATTGACAACGAATTTTACCACCTCTGGTCAGTTCCTCGCCGTCAGTCGGTTGGGCGATGTCAGTTTGATTGCAGAGCAACTCAGAGATGATGTCAACGGCGGTTAAATGGTTTAACGTAAGGTAACATCATATCAGAAGCGGGACTTATGAGGTTCGTCGCTTCGGTTGTAGCCATGGTGGTGTGTAGTGTACAAAAGTTGATGTAGAACCGCGTGATTAGAGGAAGTGCTTGAATTGAGTACAGTTGTGAGGTCTCCGTGCAACCACCAACGAAATTGATGTTTCTCAGGCACCGGTGAATGGGACTGAAGAGGCCGCCTAAAATTAAGTTGCTGCTTGATCTATGGAGTAGGTGATGATTTAGTTATTTAATTTACCGTTATTATGACAGGGAAAAGACGAGCTGTGGCTCATAGGTGGAGGCTTTATTTGCGAAGTAACTTGTTGGACGCCACTGCACTTCTTCGACCCTAATTTCGGTCATGAGTCATAATTAATTGGCACACACGCCGTTGAAGGTAAGGACAAATTTATTCTGTGAGTAGCTTCAGTAACTGTGCGGAACGGTGGACGCATGGTACGATTGCTGGCTTCATTGGGAAATGGCTCCGATTCAGCGCTTTTACATGAACGCGTAGTACGATAAATTTCGATAGGAGGATAAAACCAGAGCATCCAAATATCGACCTTGACCAACTAAACCGCTGTAACGTTTAGTGAAATGGTTTTCGGCTTAAAATATGACGACGTAAAAATGGGTCCAGAAAGTCTACTGACACGAGTCTATTCATAAGGAATCCGGAAGGGCCATGAATAATGATAATGAGCAGTTTTTTTCGATCGAGTCCTCCTCTTCCCGAAGGATGTTACACGAAGATTTTACCCAGCTGTATCAAGCCAAAAATTCGAACAAATCGCAGATTCTACGCTATTCGACGCCTCGAACAATGAGGTTTACATCAACAACCGGATGAATTGGTAAAAATGTATGCGAAAAATATGAGACTATTTTAAGTAGTGTACTTAGGAGACTTCCGTCCGCAAGGTACAAGTAGTTGGAGTCTCTTCACCACTCTTTCATACAGTCTAGTGGTCTCCTATACAAAGATAACGTGAGTGCTCTATAAAGATGCACAACTGTCAGGATCTGATGTAACAAACTTAGTCACTGAGATGCTGTTAAGATTTCGACAAAGACTGCCATATTAGTTGATGTCGAGTACTTTTAATTGAGAAAAAAAAATGGGATTCGGTAAGATAGCAAAAAAAGCTAGGAGAATTTACGAGGCCTGTCTTTTTGTTTCCACAGCAACATGGGAGATTCAGTGGAAAGTCTTGTGTGGCAGAAGGTCATAGTAGTTATCAAATTATCATATTTCTGCGTTACCAGATACATCCAAGGACATTTGTTTTATGTTTTTTGATGGAAACAATAAATTACTGAAACACACAGTGTACGTTTAATCCAAAATTCTTTTTAATCTATATCTACGCCAGATCAGATTAGCCACAACAACCTTAAGCAGAAACGATTTTATCCCACTCCTCCCACTAAACACGGCCAGCAGCAAAGTAAATTCCCATCTTTACCATTGTAAGGACATCAAATTATCATGTTTTTGTCATTTGCGGACAAAATATCATCTGGCCTAAGGTGAAACGTTTACGCATAGGCTTACGAGACAGGTGAACGTCAAACCATTCGAAAATATTGAGTAAATATAATCACTAAAAGTAAGCAGAACTCAGGTACCAATTTTGCCCCTGTAAGCGCTAAGATGAATCAAGTTTAAATACCAAAGGTTAACAAATGCTGTGTCGATTTTCATGAAGCGATCATGACAATTTGGGTTATTAGTTCAAGAAAACTCTTGCTTAACCATCGTCAATTAAAATAATTATTTTTAATGTAGCCCCAATGTTGAAACATAGATAATTACATAAAATTGACCATATTACATGGTCTGTTCGTACAGTTTCATTGAACTGATTCACTCTTTAAGCTAATTAGTTCACCAACGAAGGGAGATTAAGCTGCAATCAAACATTAGGCTCTATCCCTTGCCTCTATTCCTTCTATATACAAAAAAATATTTGTTCGTTATTTTTCTAGGACACCGTGCTACACTTTGACGTGTTAAAAAATTAACATCTGCTCAATTATTTAAGCAAGGATAAAAAAAGTTGCTCCTGTTTAAAATAGTATCGACTGCTTGGAGATAGACTTATAATAATGCCACCAATATGATTAAACCATTTAGAGCGTTAACAATCCTACTAACACCCAGTCTTAACACATTTCGCAGGTGCCCTAAAACATTAAAAATATTTTGTGCTTAAGAGACAATTTTAAGACTAGAAAATTAATACTAAAATCTTCTTGTTGATGGCCGCAAGCAATAGAATCCATAGTATATTTGAGTTTTGATGTCCTTTTATCATTTTAAAATCATTGTCATTGTCGACCAAAAGTTGTTGAAAGTACACAGAAGCATGGCGACAGTGTATGTTAAAACGCAAGTGCTGAAGGAAACTTGTGAAGGGAAACAATCAGCTGCTACTCACATTGTACTTTGCCAGGAAAGCAATGAATGACTCACAATTTTTTTCAGATTTCCATTGTTTAATGTAAGCTTGTTGTACGGAGAAACCGACAGTTCGAATCAGAGAGTTTCCTTCATTCATTCATTGCCTCAAAAATTTATAATGTTGATTTGTGAGGTGCACGATTGGATGATTAATTTCGATTTTTACTAAGTTAAGCGGGTTTTTCGGGGAGTTGTCGTTAATGTTTACACAAAAAGTTTCCACTTATTCACTGGAGTTTGGTGGACTTAGACGGTGAAACTTGTTGGTAAAAGCATATGCTCGTTCTGTCTTTACATACAAACTCTTTTGGCAATAATAGGAATATTGCAACTATCCAAATGATATCATTCCGTCTTCTTTGTTAAAAATTAATGTGGCTGAATGCTGAAATAGTGAACTGATCAATCAAGCAGTGTTTTGAATTCCTTTTTTAAACAATTTAGTTTACCTAAATAAGTATTATGTCTAAAATCAAAGCAGTTAGCATGCATATTTCTCAAAAATCTATTATAATTAGAACACTATTTCGACTACCCAAATTCACGTCACCTATTCAATCACTCTAATTTTTTATTGGGTAACAGGAGTTTCGTGTGCATATAGTGTCGTGCTTTAGCAATGGCGGGAGTTGTCGCGAAAATTTCAAAGTTGTTTTCCATAATTAAGCAAAATGGTGGCATTCGAGGTTCAATTGTGACGCTTTTTAGGTAAGCCTTTATAGTAGTCCACAACTTTACAGGACTGACGAGCTTAAGGATGGTACTCTTGTTGGTGAGGACTATTTAGGAAATAAGTACTATGAGAACAATCGGTACTTTCTCGGTAAATCTTGGTTATAGATTTACCCATATAGGACGCAACCGCTGGGTTGTGTATGGTAATCGTTTTGGGTGGGACTACGAGGCATCTCAAGTACCTCCAGAATGGTAAATATCTGGTATGTTTTAATTCATTTGCCAAATAGGCATCGTTGGTTGCATTACATGACCGATGAAACACCAATTGCTAATGCTCCAGAGCGCCAGCCGTGGATGTTGGATCACCAAGAAAACGTTACTCTTCAGGAATCCCAAAAATATATACCGTATTCTACAACAAAGCCTAAAATCACTGCATGGTCTCCAAAATGATGACCTATTCTCTGCTATGAACCGATTACATGTAGAATATGCAATGTTTACCTAGAATATACTTGCTGTACTTCGATTGCGTTTTATTTAAAGTCTGCGTTTGTACATGCGCGGGTTAGTTTCGTGTCCAATTGTTGTAGATGGATGACGTGAGGCTTCCTCCCTCCGTTTTTCAAACCATTGTCACACACGCGCTTACTCATGAGAGGGAGGAAGTTGCCGGTCTCTTGGCTGTTGAAGTGCTTGAGTCACACCTTCAAATTTATGCAGCCATTCCTCTGCCTAGAAGTGTACAGAAGTCGGATAGAGTAGAAATCTCCCCGGAGGATATGTCCATAGGAGCCACTAAATGTGAGGTAAATTTTTTGAACTTGTGCCTTGGCAAATAATGTTGAGCATTAGATTAAAAATTGACCGTCACGTACCACCTTAACTTGCAATTCTGGCTTTCAGTAGCAGTGAACCCACCTTCAGTGTTTCAATTCTTAGTTAATGTTGTTATTCAGTTTTAAACAGTGCGACCACTGTGTTCAGCATACCTAGTATTTTTGGTATCAACTTGCTGTCGGTATTTTTGGTCCTTAGGTAGTTTCAGATACACAAATGTTTTCTGACCTCATAACTAGTTATTGTTTTTCATACTCATGTTGAAGGATTAATCTGTTAAAGGGCTAGTGTTCTTCGTTGCGTTTCTTAAGTTTTCACTTATCGGTTTAGATGCCCGAAGTTGACATTTGCTTGAGTCTGGCTTTAAACTTATCATATTTACTCAAATCCAGCATGCGTCTACTTAAATGTAATTTACTGTAATTCTTGTGTTGTAGGAACTTGAGAAGAGTCTAGGGAGAAAGCTTTCTGTTCTCGGGTGGTATCATTCCCATCCTCATATCACCCCTCATCCAAGCGCGATCGATAAGGAGATGCAAGGGGAATTACAAAAGTTGGACTCGAAATTTTTTGGCATTATTGTATCTGTATTTGTTTCCGAACGTGATAAAAAGGTACGTCCGTTTTTCAATGTGAGTAACACGTACAGACTAATTATACGTATTTGTTTGAGGATAATACTACATGTTGAGTTATGTGCTTATTAATTTATTGGTTTGTGTGGGGATTTCGTGCATTTTGGTCACCAATTTTCTCATTTGTTAGGCTGGTTTCAATAATTATGTTAACTTAATGAAACTGGTCTCTGTGTCTCTGTTTCGCTTTCCGCTTTATTTCTAAGATTAACAGCCTAAATCGCTTATGCTGTAGTTCCATTTTAACATTCCAACGTTTTCCAATGTATGCATAGGTGGTATCGGAATGCTGCTACAGCGAACTATTTCTTCCTATTTTGAATTTTTTACTGATTTCAAAGGTTACACTTGTGAAAGATGCAAAATGTTGTTTGATCTTTGCGCCCTTAAAGTATTTGGGGATAAAATTGTTTAGAAAACCTGTATGTCTTGATTCATTTCGCAATTCTATCAGGCATGCGTGCCATCGAACGCTGAGTACTTGTTTTCCCAAAAAACTCTTTTGAGTGTACTAATGTTGAAAGTGAGCGGCGTCTTGGAATCTCGCATGGCAACAAAAATAACCAAGCTCACTAATAATGTATGCGCTACATCTAACGCTTCTCATAAGGTTCAGTATATTAAAAATTTATAAGACCTAATTGGTCGGGGGTTGGTATTGCCTATTTTGCTATTCTGGATGAAAAATTTTACAATACATTTGGTCCGTAACGCCTTTTCCCACGTCAACGCTTGTAGGCTCGCCTGAAGGTCGCTCAAGAGGGATTAAGGTGTTTAGTAATTACCGCCTTGCTTAAAATCGATACAGAATTTGTAACTTTAGCATAATCATTTTAAATTGGTCACTGCTATCTTGTAAGTTTACTAGTTCATGGTGTGTTTAATCGACATCAAATAATCAGGCTTTAAAGTAATTCTATCGTGACTAGTAAACAACTCATCGAGCGTCCTAAGAACTAATTACGCGAATGAGCCGATCGCCATCGATTCTCCTAAGCCAAAAAAAATTATTTGCTACCTCGTTGTTGCCCTTTGGCTGTTCTCTAGGTATCTTTGAACTCGGATTATCTGAATAATTTAGTTCATCTTGCGATGTTCTTGGTGCTTGCAAAACTGCGCTACTCCCGGGCCCCCTGTTAAGTAACTACCTCAAATGTCAAAATGTATGTAGAAATAGCGATTTTGCTCCTAGCGGATTTCCTGCTCACTTTATCCATATCCACATAAGGGGGATTCCCTTCCTCCCTATTTAGTGTTTCCGAAGACCCATCAAAGAAAAATTTCTCACTAGCTTATTTTAACATTCTGTATTTTCCGTGATTTCGGTCGATAAATCTCCTTTTACCACAATATCTTCCTGCTATTCCACCACCCATCCACGGTTTGTTAATATTCCGTTTATCTAATAATAAAAGAAACTGACTGTAAGCTCCAGAAAACTACTCTTATAACTAAATTCTATTATCCTCTATAAATTTGATTCTGCACGTTAGCTCTGAAATAAGCTACCAAAAGATGGAAATATATAAATTCCTCTTAGTTCTCTTCACTTTAAAATATAATCTTGTTCATCGAAAAGCAAAAAAAAACAGGGTTGCGGGACCTTGTGCGAGCAGGCACTCGACTCGATATTCGCATCGTACTTTCGTGGATGAGCTAATGTATAAATTTAACCTCTCCGATTTAATGGCAAACGTGATTCATATCTGGAGAGTTAGCCTTTTGCGTTAGTCTTATTCGTGCCTAAATTGTATTTAATGTGTGCTTACTAAAATCTTCGTATCAAATGTATTTTCCGAACACTTCTTTTGTCTTATGTGAAAAAATGACCACTTACCTTTGCATTGCTTTGAATGATGGTTGTAACTTTTATATCCATCATGCGTAGTTGTGTTTCCCATTGTGTCGGGATTTTGGCGCCCTGTCCATTTTTTAATATCACAGGTGGCCTAATAAAGGGGATATTGTAACGCATCTCACTACTATTTCGTAACTGAAATGGTGCATGTTTGCCTAACCTGTGTGCTTTCTGTAATCTTATATTTTAAGAAAAGATTCGCACTTTGCAGAACTCTAAAGTAAACATTGGAATCGAGGTTCCGGTAGATTTAGCGTGTTTACCTTTTGTATGAATCCAGGAACAGGTGATCAGTTTCATCGGTTTTCGAAAAGAAGATCGTCCCATCAAGGTTACGATTGAGCCACTGTCTGCCGAAATCGTATCCCCAATTGCCCACTTCAAGGCTTGTTTGGATATGTGGCGATCAATTCCCAGCGCAGTGTTTGAGGAAATAGCCAGGCAAGACGATGGCTGTCGTAAGTGCCAGCAACCTTTTCCCTTGTGTACCTCTGCTTCACATTGTGTGTAGTGTTATTCACACATTTGGACTTTTCCCCGCGCCATGATAGCTTTCCTTTTTCGTACTAATTAAAACACGGTTTCCCTTGTTAATCTCGCCCAATGAGTACCGTTTTACCACTAACATCCGTTCGGTATCTCCAAGGTGACCTGCCCTTCAGCGTTTTGTTTAAGCGGCTCTCGCAGAAATGTACTTTGTTTAGTTCAGTATCTGTGACTAGTGTGTAATTTTTTTAAAAGCGTCGTTTTGAAATGTCGTTAATGCGAGTTGTTAGTTGAGTAGCATGACAGTCAGGGATCGGCTTAGTCCAGCACGTTGCATGCATGACTGAAGTACATTTAATTAGGCCACTTCATCGCACTGCTTTTTACAGCTGCGGGCAGGTTTTTAATAGTTATGCATCTTACCATTTATTTGTCATTACTGTGTCGAAAGTCGGTTCTTAAGAATCTCTAATACTTTTCATCTCTCTTTGGATAAAATATGACATCCGCACATATGAGTTTGTCCTTTTCCTAACCGCCATACTTTCTCTCATGTTTTACTAAACTTTATGAAATTGCACCCTACTTCAAACTATGTTTTTCATCGAATCAGACTGGAGTTTGTGAGGGTTCATTTATCTTTAGGTTAAATTCGATGCTTGAAAAATCCACCGCTAGTTAACTGGTCGTACATTCCAGGGAAGCTAGCACAAAATTGAGCTGATATTTTTTGTTCGCACTACGCGGTCGGCCCCAGCAGACAAATGAAATGCCTTCTATGGAAGTACCTCCGTGCTAGTGCCGGTTTCCATTCAAATGCCACTTTTGACTATCCAGAAGCGGATGTCGTTGTTTAGGTTTAATTAAAATTATATAATTGCATTTGTCAGTACCTTGCCAGTGTTATGATATTTTGGGACTTGCAAGATTTTCTGCTTTCGCGTATAAATGCAAAGAATCTAAAAGCACAACTGTTTTTTCTCTTCTTTTTATTAATGTAGAACGTTTGCTGAAGACGCGTGATGTTGTGAACGACGTTATTTTTCCTATGACAACGTCCACCAAGTACCTCGACAGTGCCCTTCATCTTCCAGGGAAAACCAACACTCAGTGTACTTCTACTACAGCTACTTTATTACGGTAAACTTCAAACCCTTGAGATTTCGTTTGGGATAAATTGACAGAACTAATTCCTACTTTCTCGGTATCTCATAATTTTTTAATATAATCTGATTAATATTATTGCTTTTAACGAGTATAATTAACCAAAATAAATGGGGTGCATATTGGTCGTATAACTCGACTCAAAGGTCTCCTGTGCTCTGTTTAATTTTCTAGCGGTCTTTGAAGTGATTTCCGAATTCTCGTGAATACGTATGCACTTGAATGGTGGGCGCGTATTGTCGAAAAATTTTAGGCCTGAGGAATCTAATCATATTTTTGCTGTTATTGTCATTTACCAAAATCAACCACTATTTCATGACATACATGGTGGGCTGTGGGTTCTTTTTGTTCTCCTTTTTCATAATGTACAAATTAATATTTGGCGACCAGGGAAATAAAGCAGAATAGCATTAGTGTAATTAAGTTAAAACAATGAAGATAGAATTACTTGCTTCTTACCTTGTGGAATATGCCAGAGAACGCCACTTACGCGCATGTTTTCTTTAATGTCGCGTTTATCAAAAGTAGCGTGGTTTATAGATCAGCTACCGTTCCAAATAGACGTTTTCAGTGCTATCGTCGGTCATTCCTGCCACAAGAGGGTGTCATGAGATCTTCGAACAAAACCACCGTTAATTGTGGTTGCATGATCTACTTTTAACCGTTCGAATTAACATGCTACTTTATCTGAGGGCAAAGTAAGGACGGGTGGCAGGAAATACGACGACTTATTAACCTGTTGACACTATTGACGTGTGAGAAGTTCACATCACGGAATGTGGACCAGAGCCAGTCAGTGGTAGGATGTCTGGGCTTCAGTCGTCAGCGAGACAAAATTCTTCTATATTGTTTATTGTGACAATCGGCCCTCAGCAGAAACAAACGTACCTGGTTTAACCCGAAAAGAAACAGTAAGAGAACAGTCAACCACAATTAAACCACCAAAAATCTCTCTCGTGACTTCTCCTCTGCACGCAGTACGCGCCTCAGGAAGCCTCTGTCCTCGAAGACGGTGATAAGTGAAGAATGTGCTCACTTCGTCAACCCTGGAACACACGACAAGTCCATTTTGCACAATTTTGGCATAAAATTAGTGCCAAGGCTGAAATGCTCTCAGTCGGAGCCACCGGACTGTCCATGTCGTGAAGTCATTTCCATTATATCTGGTAAATGACTTTTTTTACAAGTCAAACAAGCTCTTTATGCATAGTTTCTCAGCCATTCCTAGGATTCTGCTTCCGCGTGTCAACCGCATCGTGTCTGAGGTGAAGTTAGATGATACGACATGATTCATGCAACTGGTTGTAAGCGTTAAC